CACACACACACACACACACAAATAAATAAAATAAAATAATTACAAAAACAAAACAGTATTAAAAAAAAATCAGCAAACTCCAGGTCTTCTAGGTTTCCTTTTATAATTTTACATTTTGTATTAAGATCTTTGATCCACTTTTATTTTTTGAACACCGGAGACTGAACCTAGGGCCTTCACACTGAGTTAAGATTCCCCAGCTCTCTTATTTTTATGAGATAGGTTCTCACTAAGTCACATAGGCTGGGATAGAACTTGCAGTCTTGGGCCAGCCAAACAGCTTAGTGGATTAAAGCACCTGCAAGCAGGCACAGGGGCTGGGGGTTCAATCCCTGGGCCTGCTGTGCTGGCCCTGCCCCCACGGTGTGCTGAGATAGCAATTGAGACTGGACCTGGTGAAGCACACCTGTAATCCCAGCACTTGGGAACTTGGGAGGCTGTAAACAGGCGGATCACTATGAGTCTGATCTAGTAGTGAGACCCTAATACCCTGTAGACCCTTCCCTAAAATACAAAAGAACTTGCAATCTTTCTGCCACAGCGCTCCCAGAGTTCTGTGCCTAGAAAGATCAGTGTGGAGAAAAATATATGTTGTACCTGAGGCACAGCCAGAACTGTCACACATGTGGCTATGACAGCTGGGGCTCCAAGGGCTGGGCAGAAAGTGGCCCAAAGCCTTTGGAACAACCCCAGAGAAACAGCTCTATAGGTAGATCAGGCAGAGTTAGAATTCAGGATTCAGAGTGTACTCTAAGAGGAATCACCCCAGAAATCTGTCCCTTACAACTCAGCTCAGTACACACTTGGCAGGGGGATTAAGAGCCTTAAAGGGCCCTGGCATTCTCCTGGTCACAGGGTTCTAGAGATGGCGGTAATCACTGTGACCATTCCACCCCTCCTTCCTGCTACACACAGCCTCCCTGTATGTGACAACTATAAGGATCCTGAAGTGCAAGACACTGGGATCTTCCCCTCCCATACTCAAAGTCCTGGGGCATCCACAGAGAACAAGGGAGGGCCCCAGCCCACACCCATTTGGCTCATCCCTCATCCACCAGCTCCACCAGCATCATAGGGTTGCTGCTCATCCCTTGGCCCAGCACACAAATGATGCAGTAGTGGCCCCAAAGCTGCTCCACAGCAACCCCAGGTAAGAAGTAGAGCTGTCACAGCTGCTCTCAAGGACAGTGACTGGTTAAGAAAATCCTCCAGAAGGTGCAGTGCATTAGGGGCCACAGTTCATCTTGTTTCCTTCATTCTAATTAGTCTTAAAACTAAACCTATACTGATGATCAAATGTCTAAAGTTGACTGTACCCATCCGTGTTCTATCCTGGTTCCCGATTCCTGTCCACAGGAGAAAACAAGGGGCTGGAGGCCAAGGCAGGGTGACAGGGAGCACCACCAACTGGCCAAGACACCTGTCTTGCATGGAACTTGTGAGAAATCAACACCCAGCCCCCACCCACTATTGGCAGGTAGCACTCAAGGGTGGCCAGCCAAGGTTCTCTCGGGGTACAGATTGGCAAAGCGGCCAAGGGTCCAGATGGGGAAGATGTTCCTGTAGCTTGTGTAGCTGATAGCGCAGGACTTGTTGAAGACCCCAGAGATGTTCTCCTGGAAAGACACAGAAATGACCACAAAGGCTGAGGGCTTGCCTTAGACTATAGCCCCTGACCATAGAGCTGCCCAGTTCAGGGTAAGTGCACCAAAAGAAAGCTTAATGAACAAGGGCAGAGGGCTGCAGAAAGTCAGTTTTCCCACTGAATCTCATACTCAGACTCACCCTGAAGCCTTCACACAGCTTTTGTCAGACTTCTCTGAGATTCACTTGGGACCTGGCAACCTGTCTCAGCCCCACCACCCTCACAGGCCTCTGGCAAGCTGGGTTCACTCATCCCAAATCCTCAAACTACTCCAAGAAGGACATGGTGTAGGGGTGTGGTACAGTCCCACATGCATGCTGAAGGTCAGTGATTGGTCTCATACTCTTCACACACCTGAGGCCAGTCGCCATTGGGGAGCTGCTTCTCAAGCAAACACCTGACTCCTCTCTCTTGGGCCTCCACGTCAGGATGCCTGGGAAAAGAGGAGACTGATGAAGCCTCGTGGCCTGGCATGCTCCTCAGCATAAACCTTTGTCTTCACCCTTGTGCAATCAGTGCAAGAACAGAACCGCAAATGCTACAGTAATGGTGCACAGGACTAACCAGCCTGTACATCCTCATCCTGGGAACACTGAGAAGGCAGGCCATGGAAGCACACAGGTGAGCAGAAAGGGGCACGGGCGAGCCTAAAAGATATGGCTGATGTGGCCTGGAACAAGGTTCTATCAGTTCCCTGGAAAAGGTTAATCCTCCTATGTGCCTAGCACACTGACACACACATAGGCAAGGGTGAAACGAGGATCAAGGCTCAGCAGAGGGCCGGCCAAATAGCTCAGTGGATTAAAGTGCCTGCAAGCAGGTGCAGGGGCTGGGGGTTCGATCCCCAGGCTTGCTGTTCCAACCCCTCCCCCCGGGCGCACTCACATGGCAATTGACACTGGGCATGGTGGTGCACACCTGTAATCCCAGCACTTGGGAGGTTGTAAACAGGAGAATCACTGTAAGTCTGATCTAGTAGTGAGACCTGAACACCCTGTAGACCCTTCCCCAATATATATATATTGGGCTCAGCAGGACAAGAGGACAAGGGACAACTAAGAGGGACCAACCAGGAGAAGCCCTTGTGTCCTGCCCTTGGGCTCCCAGGCTCTGATGCATTTGGTCATACCGAATGAGGGGATTTTAGAAAAGATTCTTCAAATGGCTCATTTAACAGGGCAGCACAGATTAGAGCACCCACATCTGTAATTGTGCCCTGCCTGTGTGCATGTGCACCTGTCTCCAAGTACACACCTGCATGCATGCAGCTTGGTACCAGTGATGTACACAAGAGGCCCAGGGCAGCTGCAGATACCTGTGCTCTCACCAACAAGGCAGCCACCACTGCCACACTGGGAAGCAACTCGGACCTCCCTTCCCTTGTTCTGCAAGAGACAAATCTCTGCAGGGCCCCATTCAGGTAGATGGGATGCCACCTTGCCCAAATACCAGCACAACAGACCTCATGGAAGTACTTCTGTCCCTAGAGTGGCAGCAGAGCCCCATGGCATCATCCTCTCCCACATCTATACTCAGCCTAGGCCACCCATTCTCCCTTCCACTCCATCTGAGCCCCTACCTGACAGCCATCAGTCCCATCAGGGCCCAGCAGGTGTTGTGGATCTGGGACTGGGCACTCTGCACGTAACGCCGCTGCTCACAAGATTCAAAGTCCTCCCCCCAGCCTCCATCAGTCATCTGCTGGGACAGCAGGAAGTTGCAGGCCTGGGAGACCTCTGCACAGGCAACCCTACAGAAACCAGGAGTTAGGATCCTTTCCCAGGGAGTCCACCTGTCAGGTCTGGCTACCTTAGGGTCCTGGGGAGGGACCTACAGATGAGGACAAACAGACCTGCCTCTTGAGCTGTAGGAACAGAGAGAAATGCTCTGGGGCAACAGATGGCCTCATTGGCATGGCAGTCCCAGTATCTAAGGGCACTTGAAGACATGTTTAGGAGTGTCCATGCTGCACCAAACCAAGCCCAGTGCTCCTTGCTTCCAACACCCACTGTATCCAGAGCTGGTAAGCAGCTAGAGGTAGGGCTTAGACCTGAGGCCTCACCCTTTCTTCTGCCCCAGCAAGTGGCCTGGATCCTAGCTCTTTCCTACTTGGGGTAGGGAGTCAGGCATTGTAGGGAGGGTCTGAGTGTTAAAGTTCTGTGAGGTAGTCCAGAGCCAAGGCTAGGAAAACATCTTCATTCCCACCTGGAACTCACATTTCCAGAGATAATGATTCTATCCCATTATTTTAAAATATCAATCGATTGATTGATCGATCTATCTCTATCTGTTAAAAAAAAAAAAAAAATCAAACACCAAAGGAAAAAACACTTACCCATCTTGATAGGTATGCCCCATGCAGGCAAAAGCTTCCAGGCCAAACCAGGTACCATAGGTGAAACAAACACCCCAGGAGCTAGAGGGAGAAGGGAAAGGCCTCTGCCTGTGTCCAGGGCACAGGTACTCTGCCTGGGCACACTGGGGCACCGCACAGACAGTAAGGCTGTTTCTATCATCAGAAAAGCATATATCCACCCCTCAGACAGCCACACCATTTCAGTAGCAGCAATGCCACCTGCTCAGCCACCAGATACAACCACTGTACAAGCAAGGAAAAACAATCACACTCAAGCATACACCGCCCAGTTGCTGCCACGTGAGCACTCACATCAGGAAAAGTCAGAGTATGCTAGGAAGTCAGAGAGCTGGTGCAGCACACAGGTCCTTGCCCCACACACATCTGCACCCACACATGCTAGCACCCCACACTCAGCTTGGCACACACTTACCCCTCCCAGGAGCCATCAGTTCGCTGCTTCTGCCGGCAGAATGCTAGGCCCTGCTCCAGGGTCTCCCTGCAACACAGGCAGTCAGCTCCATGCACATTCCAGAAAAACTATGGTTCTTACCCAATTCTACCTTGCCATATCTCAGAGTGGCTATAGTCTCCCTTAGAAAACAGTTCAAAATATTCAGACAGAAGGGGAAAAGGAGCAGCTATAGAACATCGGAAAGGGAAGCAGACTGTCAAGAGTTCTAGGGAAAAAAATGTGAGAAAAGTAGACCTAAGGATGATGCCCATGTTGGACACAGGATCAACAAGCTGAGTATGATGGCACAGCACTCTGGCAAGCTGATACAGTAGGATCACTAGCATATTCTAGGCAATTTGGCAAGATCCCATCTCAAAATAAATCCTCAGTATCTCTCTCTGACACACACACAGAAGTCAATGACAGGTAAATGAGTAACATGACACCTGCACAATCAATGATCAGAGCAGATGATCCTTGCTGCCATCAGCTTCAGCTAGTCACCTATGGGTTCTACTTATTACACAATTAAAATGAGCAAGGGTGAGCCATGACTGAAGTCAGGTGGGCAGTCCCTCAGCTGGGGAGGCAAGGAGAACAGGGCAGGGGTGACCCCTCCACAGCTGAGCACTACAGCAAGGCCTATTCTCTTCTCTGAGTGGTAGCTGCCTCTAGGTGTAAAAGACTGCCCACTGTCTTAACTGTCACTTATTTGGATTTGTGTAGATGAGATGTATACACTTCTTTTTAACATTAAGATAAGAAAAAGAACCTGTTTTTGTATTACAATTGCTATCTTCACCCTACTTCACCCTGTTGCTCAAAATTCAGGGATACTAGAAGCGGCAAGGCGTGGGTGTTGGGCTCTCTTTTCTTCAGCACTGAGGAGGGAACCTAGAAGCTCTCTACCACTGAGCTGCTTCCTCAGTCCCTGGCCCTTTCTTTTTGGTGGGGTAGGGTGTTCAGGTTTTTGAAAGATGGTTTCACTATGTATTCTCAGGTTGGCCTCCTGCCACAGTCTCTAGTGTGGGATTCTGACTTTACTTATTTTATTTAATTATGAGACAGGATCTTGCTAAATCTCCCATTCTGGGTTTTGGTTTATCTTTTTGAGACGAGGTTTTGCTTTGTAGTTCAAGATGGTCTCAAACTTACCCAGACTGGCCTTGAACTCATGGCAATCCTGCCTCAACCTCCTGAGTGCTGGAATTTTAGGTGTGTGCCACCATGCCCATTAATCATTCTGGTCCTAAACTTGCAATCCTTACTTTAGCCTCCCAAAAAGCCCCAGCTCACTCCCATGTTTAAAGAAGCCACTCTCTTCAGTTGCCCTGCTGAGGTGGCCAGGGCCTCTCATTTGTGACATGCTCAATGGGGGCATGGCCACACAGGAGGTATACTATGCCTTGGCCCTCCTTACTTGATCTCTGCCGCCCTGTGGTCTGGGTAATTCTTGTGGAAATACTTCAATGCCTGCATCACTGCTGAGGTGCACTCCACATACGTGTAGTCAATCATGACGTGCCCTGGGAGAGGGAGGCTCATGAGATCCACTGTCAACCAGAGCCTCTGACTCCGATCAGGTCATTCAGAACCTGTGCCCAGAGGTCACCCCAACCTGTCCAAGCAATACGACCACAAGGGGCAAAATACTTGCACACCTGTGCCATGCAAGGCAAGAAGCAGGTTCCATCAAGACAAGGAACACAGCGGATAGCTGCAGCCCACCTCAAATACCTATGTGACAGACCTGAAAGGAGGCTACAGTAGGTACCCAAAGGTCTCTCAGGAAAAAAGCACCCCTCCTGCCAGACCAGAACCTTTGTGGTGACAAGCAGACATAGCCTGGCCTTTGAAGTTACCCATAACTCCCTGCAGGTGCCAGGGGCTGCATGGAGGTACTCAGGATGCATGATGGCTTCCTATGGACAAGCAAGACCTGGCCCACCCTGGAACCAGAGTTGGGCGTAAATCCCACCCAAAGTCCTGGAACAGATCATAGCCCTTTATCCCTAGCACGGGGACTCCCAGGGTGGCTCTACCACATCAGCCCAGATCTATGCACCGCACTGCTGCCTAGGACACTCACCGAAGACCTCTGAGGGGTTAAGCAGTTCCAGCAAAAGCCCCCCACGAGTAGTCTCATAGGTGGCAAACCCTCCATCAGGATTCCTCATGTTCAGCAACTAAAACCAGAAGAAATTCTGAGAATGGCGCATGCTCAGAGCCCATAGGTCCTAACAGAGATTTCTTGAAGCACCCCAGGGTTGATAGCTAACAGGATAGGAGTGGGAGCCAGTGATCTGATCTGCATGCTGATTAAGCTTTCCAGTGGTCAATGCAGCTATAGCCATGACCTTGTGTAGCCATCTGGTGACAGGCCCCAAGATACCGATTCACCTGTGAACAATGACGCAGCAGGACCTAAGCTCTAGGGCCAGGTGTATTGAAAGGAGTTTATGCAAAAAGTCTTTCCTTTTGGACACCCAGGCAGACCAGCCCTCCCAAAGGACACCAGGGGAACCAGAATGCAGAGGTAGGCTCTACAGTCTCCAGAACCACAGGCCCCAGCCTGGCCCAACTGCCCAGTCAGAAGGTGAGCACACGTTTACAGGACATGACGGCAGGTACAGGAGTGAGCTCACCACAGCCACGGCATCGCAGAGCTGCTCTTTGGGGATGTGCTCAGTGATAGAGGGACACTTCTCCTGCAGAAGCAAGACAGCCTTCAAAGCTTCAGCTGTGCAGTCAGCCACAATCCAGCTACAGTCCAGGGTACTGAAGCAGAAGCCACCCTGTGGAGTGGGGCGTGAACATCTATAGACACAGTATTCCTCCTCCCTAAAGCCTCTGTTTGCACAGCAGCCCAGGTATATCAAGGCAGGCTCGAGCTCCAACACTGGGATTCCCAGGGCTGCAACCTTTCTCTGGATGCCTTCAGGCTGGAGGAAGCCTGAAGCAGGGTGACACACACATACCTTGTTTAGCTGTCGGTAGTACTTCTGATAGCTGGGAGGGTTGTCTGGGACCTGTGCAGCACCAAGGAGCATAAGTGGAAAGCACAGAGATACACTGTCACCAGAGATCCCACACTGCAATCTGGGAGCCAGATATACTAGTAGTCCCAACACAAGCAGGGCAGCAAGGCACTGGTAAGGCACCAGTTCCACAACCCGATCACTCTGAGCAGAGCTGCCAGGGCACTGAACAACCTATTCTCTCACCCCAGCTTTACAGTCCTTCTGCTCTCCAGTGAGTGCTGATGACCTGCGGGTGTGGTCAGGGTCCAGCCTCATTTCCATGACCATGTGTTCACAGTTCATGCAAGCAGCAGCACTCCTGCTGTGCTCCCCAACCCCCAGCCCCAGAGAGAGAAGCAGCATCCTAGTGAGCTCTGAGGACAGAAAAATGGGGCATAAGGGGCCCAAGCTGAAGGTGGTCACTGTGGCTACAGGGTGGGGTCAGCACAGGGCAGCAGAACACACAATGGGGGATGCAGGCAGGAGCAACACAATGAAAACATCCATCAGCCTCTGTGAAGAACTGGCAGATCAGAGTCTGTACAAGGCCCCTAGGAGGTGACAGTCACAGGCTGGTGTCATCTTCACTGGCCTGAGGCCACTTAAATGTGCCAGGATGAAAACAGCCTCCAGGCTCAGGAATGCAGTTCCTGGCTGCACCACAGGCTGTCCCAACCCCTGCACACCACTCCAGCATGAGGGGTAGAAGTTCCCACTAGGTACGAGTACTGCAGTCCATGTCAAGAGCAGGTCTGGGATGACTACAGTGGTTGAAGGCAGCAGAGGGAAAGAGGGCAATGTGGAAGAGAAGAACACCAACCTAAGCAAGCTGGGCAGGGGGCACTGGCCTCACCTGTGAGAGCCGTAAGAATGCATGTGCCTTCTGCAAACAGGACAAGAATTCGGACTTGTGGTGTGCACCTGCCTGGAAGACAGCAGCACAGCACAGCTGAGCCAAACCCCCAATGTCCTGGTGACTTCTGCCACAGCTGGGAACCAGAAACAAAGTGACATACATCTCTGGAGAATTATGGGAAGTTTTGGTACACTTACCTTCCAAGACATAAGTCAAGGAGACATGTCTGAAAACTGAAGTAAGACATACTGCCCTCGACAGAAGCCAGCCTGTCCCCCAGGAGACCCCAGACATCCCCTAAAGGACCTTCCTCAGATAGCCCCATCTGGTCAAAAATACCCCCAGGTCTCCCCCAACACCATACTCTCATTCTCCTTCAACACTGCTTTAAACACAGCCAGCTACAGAGGTTCTAAGAGCCTTGTACCCTGTTGCCTGGGGCACCTGCCTGCCCAGCTCCCTAACTGGCTTCTCAGGTTGCCCTCTCAAAACCTAGACCCAGCCCATATCCAAGGTGGCCAGACAAAGCCAGTACCTCCTTTGTGTCACATGCAAAGGTTCTGGTGCCAGCCTTGTGAGAGCAAGGGCAGTGTGTGGTCACAGAGCTAGGTCCCTCACAGGAGACATGCAGTCCCATATACAAGAAGGTGAAGTGGGCACTGCAGCCACATACCTCCAGCAGAGCCTGGATGGCAAAAGAGGTATCCCATGTCTGTGAGCCATTGGTGCCCTGAAAGCAAAGGACAGGTGTTATAGCTGCTGCGGCCACACCATCCACCTATCAACTGACGTACCACTCCAGGCTGAGTCCTGCGGCTAGTAAGGGCCTAAGAAGAACCTGCCTTCATGGGCCACCAGCCAGCACAGTGACTCAAGGCATTTCTAGGATTGGATCTTCCCTCACAGGATCCCACATTTCTCCCACAGCAATGCACCCATCATAGGATGACCAGAAATGCCCACTTCTAATCACAGACTAGAGTCTGTGTTCCCTAGACAACACCTGATCTCAGTTCAGGAGGGACAAGTCAGGTTCCAGTAAGCGTTGTTCAGGGTCCTCTGAAATGTCTGATAGAGCCCTAGGGTCTCAGTCCACAGGATGGTCACAGGACCAGCTCTCCCGTGAACTTGCCCATGAATGCTTCTTTAGGGGCCAAGAACCAAACAGGTACCTCTGTCCAGAGAGGAATGCACCTGCTGGCTACTCTGCCCAGGAAGGGTCTACAAAGATGCTGTCCATACACTTCTGCTGTGTCCAGCAAACCTGTGTTCTCACTCTGAGTAGTTATGTATCCATTTCCTTAACACTGACTTTCACAGGAAGATGTCTGCATGCTGCTCCCAGGTCTGGCCACACCCACTGACCTCTCCTGTCCTCCCACAGCTGCAGGGATGACCAAAGAGATCCCAGGGGCCAAGAGCTGAGAACAAAGCCCCAGTGATTTTCTGGGAGAACCCTCCAAATGACTGCAGGGAAGAAAGGCCCACACCAGCCTGTCATAGGTACAAAATAAGTGTTTCTGCAGGATCGGGGCCACATTTGGGCCTGTCATTGTAGTAGTTTCACACAAACGGGCAGAGTAGACACTACAACTAAAGCTGGACCTGCAAAAAAAGGTAGTGACCTCAGAGACTGAAGCACCTGAGGTGCCCCTTGCCCTGCACAGACTGGAGCACTGGGGGGTAACTCTACCTCTCCTTTTGTGCATTGCTTATCTACTCTGTGAAGAGTCACTTTTGAATCTCAGCAACCAATGCCCAAGGTCACAAAGTCCTCACCTGCATTTTCATACCATCAAGGCCCAACCTGTGAGGAGAAAAGTCCATATCAGGGACAACCCATAGCCACAGCCATATACCCCTCAGGCCTCCCTCAGGAGTTCCCATAGCTTTCCCAAGGCTAGCATCAACTTCATCACCACTCCACTGGCTCACAGGCATAAGGACCACACTCAGTAAGAGATGAGACAGAAACTCATACGGGGCAGTGCAAGCCTTAGGCCTACTCACCCTGCTGGCCTCATTCAATACCACACTGCCAGAAGACAGACTGCCTCCACACATGCATGGCTTCCTGCCATGGCCCTCATGGCTCCAACTTCTGGCCAGACAGTGCTGACAACCTCCCCATCATAAGCTTCTTCATACTAATTTGGTCCTGCTCTACCCATCCACACGCTTCCTAGGTCTCTCTGCCTCCCAAAACCATCTGAAGTTTCTGCTAGGTGGTAAATTCTCCCATACAGACAACTTCCACACTCATCACTTCCATACTGGTTCTAGTTTTTCCAGGGGCTGATACTGTAGGGTAGGAGACCCATTATCACATAAGCTTGCATGTCTTTAGTCAGCACTCACCACCATTGCCCAGCCACTTCCTGACCACACTCACCACAGGTAATCACGTATCCTGGAAACGTGTTCCTGGAACGCAAACGAGGCTGGCCCATCCACAGCCCAGCGCACAAGCATGTTGATGGTTTTCGAGATCTGTGGCAGACATGGCTGTCAAGGCCTGTATACCTCATTTCTAAGCCAGGGCACCTGGGAGCTTACTAAGTGCACCAGATGCACAGCTGTGTCCAAGAAACAACTCAGACCCAGGCCAGGATTAGCCAAGGTCAAGCAAGAGCCAACTTGCTGCACCAAGAGCTTCACCTAGCGAGGCTAGATTAGGAGGGCCTATGTACCCACAGGTGGGGAGGCTTGGTGTCTGGTGGTTTGCCCAGAGAACTCATGGGTAGCCCATATAGCCCACTGGCAACAGCCCAGCTGCATTCCAGCCATGTGCCAGCTTCCTCCCAGGTCCTTAGTAGCCCTGCCTGTTCTCAGTTCTGTGCCCTGACCACTGAGAACATGGCTCCAGGCACGGTATATGCACATTGCATTTGGCTTCTACCAGACACCACAGTGCCAGAAGGCAAAGCAAGATTAGCCCCAAGATCAGTAATGGAACACAAAAGCCCTGCAACACCCACCCTGGATACCTCTAAATTCTTTAAGAGGGCAGAGGGTCAACTATCTGTGATAGGGCCAGGGAGATGGCTCAATAGAATAAGCACTTGCCTGGCAAGCGCAAGGGCCTGAGTTCAATCCTTTGTTCAAAAAAAACCCAAAAACTCTGTAATAGGGACTAAGAATCAGGGGAGGAATCAACCCCTTCCAGTTGGTCAGGAAACTGAGGTAGCCTCAAGAAGCACATATCCAAACATCCATGTAAGAGTCAGGTGTGGGAATGGGAGGGTGAGCTGATAGGGGAGGGCGAACTGATGGGGCCAGGTAGCTTCACTGAGCCCAGGGCAAAGGGAATGAGGACAGAAGTCCTCTAAACAGACCTCCTCCCAAAAGCACTTGTGTGCACTCATCGCCTAGTTAGCTTCTGAGCACCAACTAGGTCCTTTCTGCCCCCAGGGACTATGTGGAGACAGGGGCCAGAGGGGGCAGGGCACTGACCGGACCAATGCTGATGCTCTTGGTGAAGCGGTCATCAGCTGTGATGTGCTCGTACAGCATCTTGATGGCCCATTGCCGCAGGTGGGTGCTATGGAAGCGCTCATACAGGTTGAGGAGTGCTACAGGACAGCAGTGTTAGTGGGCACCAGACATGCAGGGATGTTCTGGCCCCAACCTTCCGTTCCCACGCAGGGTGTACGCATAGCCCTCGAGCAGGAAGCAGAATGTGAGCCTCTCCTTCCCCAGCTCCTCAATCCATCCTTGCTTGGGCCTCCTCCTCTGCCCTGCCAAGGTGGTACCTAGGGGGCCTCCTCATGAAAAAATCACACCCAGGTAGTCCTCAGTGTTGCTCAGGACAGGGCCCAGCAGACGTGGCTATTCAGTGCCATAAACACCATCAATGAGCTAGTGAGAGACTCGCTGACCCCGGCAGCCCAGGTCCATTGCCTTATGGTGCACCTACCATACACTGTGCGAAGCAGCCAGCTGTGTGGTGTGTACAGCTCATCAGGACACACGTTGTTCCTCTGCGCTGGCCAGTTGATGCTGGCATAGTCTTCCACATAGAGCTCCTGGAAAGTAGGTGGAACCTTTACCACTGGCAGGGCGTCAGATACACAGCCAACCTGACTCTAGCCATGAGTATCCTCCAATTGCAAGCCCTGGGCCACTGGGTCATGCCCTTCCCATAGGTTGAGGAACACTTACCAAATAACCACGGTGGGGTGAGACCCAGATGGGTCAGCTATATGGGGGCTACTCTGAGGAGTAGCCTGACACCCACCCTCTCTTCATTCCTAAGGGCAAAGTCCAAACCCCATCCTCTATTCCACCCCATAGCAGGGCTATTTCCAAGGACATAATTATACATGTCGGTCAGGACTGCTCAGGAGGTTGAGCATGCACATCCTAAAGCTCACAAATTCTCCATGGCCCCAGAACACTGGGAAATAGCTGCTCGGCCCATAGCACAGGTCCCTCTGGCCAGAGTTTGTTTCTTACTATTTACAGTACAGGAAGGTGAAGCTCCACAGGGCTCTCAGTGTGTGGACCCCAGCCCCAGAGACTGTGTGTCATCTGTCTTCCTGAGCCTTATGGGTCTTCTGTAACAAGGACCCTCAGGGTTGGAGGGCTTACCTGACGAAGGCTCTGAACTAGTGGGTCCTCTGAGGCACTTAGGCGGGTAGCATAGCAGTAGCTCATGGGCAGGTAGACCTGCCGGCAGTGACACCAGAGAGTGGAGGGGTGTGCAGGCATCCAGGAAGGAAACAGCCTGGAAGACAGTATATGTCAGTGAGAGTGTCAAGGACACTGTCTGCCCCACTGTCCACTTTGTGCTGTGGGTCCTAAATGTAAACACATTCCTATGGATGCAGTGAAACCTATGTGGTCACCTTCCAAGGAACTAACAACCCAGGATTTGGTGTTCCAAGAGGTGACTATCTGTGGTTTAAAGTGTACTTTAAAAACTTTAGACCTGCTTGGACCAGTGTTGCCTGCCCATAATTCCAGTTGCATAGGAGGCTAGGGCAAAAAGATTGCAAGTTTCAGGCCAGACCAGGCAAGTTAGAAAGACCCTGACTCAAAATAAAAAATAAAAAGAGCAATGGTTGGGGCCAGTATAGAATTCCCTGGATTAGGATCCTCAGTACCACACACACACACACACACAAAACCTGATAGAAATGTAAGCCTGTTGACCTCAGAGCCTCAGTCCCTATACCTCAGTATCTACTTACACAGGAGCAATGTGCACATGACCTGCTCCTATCCTTCCACTCACGCTTCCAATCTTGCGACACTTCCTGTTCTCTTAATGTGAGCAATAGACCTCAGTTTCTTGTGCTCTCTTGAGGGCTCTCATTCATTCACTACAAAGGGCAGGTTTTATACCCTGAGTATAATTTTGCAAAGCTGGACTGACGCAAGTTCTCTGGTCCTCCACTCTACCCCATCATTCAATCTCTAACCCACTCCCCAAACCAACTCTAGTAAGGAGCAGCAGGACACTAGTGACAGTGCAGCCCATCAATGACCAACAGTCATGCCATGCAGAAACACAAACCAAACACATCCCCCAACCCTAGCCTCCAGAACCCAAGCCTCCCACCCTGGTGGCCACAGTGACCACTCTTCTCATGGCCTTCTTCAGACAGCAGGTCAAGCCCAGCCAGTTCCCAGTAGTGGATGACTGAATGCCAATATGGCCGAGGGCATTTCTCCAATAGGTAAAAGCATTCCACTTGCACCATACACAGGCAGTACATGCCACCCCTCACCCAGCACCTGCCAGCCCTCCCACTTATAACCACCCATCCTGGCTGTGGAGCTAAGTCCTTATTTCAGGACTCAGCCATTCACTCTTAGTGGCCCCTTTACTTCCTGCCTTCCTCCACCAAGTCACCTACTACAGGGCCCTAACACCTATTTCTATAGTACTCCAGGGACACATCAGGGGTTACACCTAGGATCTGAAGTTCTGGGGTCCCAATTCCCAATATGTATATGAGGTATGATCATAACATATGTTGAACATTTAAATTTTAAAAAATTAAATAGCATAAAACATTGTTATTAATCTCCCTATAATTATTTGCCTGCTCGACTTTAAAACAAGTATTCCATTGTCCTTGCTATTTCTTAAAGCTGTTCTAAAAACCTTTCACCAGCTCTTTAGTTGTGCTGTTTTAGCTCCCTTGATGTTCTGAACTGATTCAAAATTGTTACCTTTCATGGTCATTTTGACTTTGCACTAGAAGCTTTAACACAGCAAATCTGAGAAAAATGTTTGAAGCCAAGCAAAGTACATTATAGGGATTAATGATAATGTAGTACTTACTATAAGTTTTATTTTATTTTTTAATGTTTTTGGTTGTTGCATGGTCTCACTATGCAGCTTGGACTCATGGTAATCCTCCTGCTTTTAGCCTCCCCAGTGCTGGGATTACAAGCATGTGCCACCACACATGGACTCTGGCTGGCTCAGCCCACCTGGGGGCAGGGCTGGCTCAGCATGTGATGCTGGGGATTGAATTTAGGTCCTTGTGCTTGTCTAAACTTGCCTAAGCAGGCCCTTTAGTCCACTGAGCTATCTCACCGGCCCTGTAATAAGTTTCGGAAATTAAAATATTCACTGTATATTTCTGTATATTCTGATCACACTTTGTAACGCTGGGGTAAATGTATATATGTAAGTGCTTTCTGGGGAATGGTCCACAGCTTTCATCCATTGTTTATAAAACATCAATAGATATTGGCAGTAGATATGAAATTCTAAGGAATGAGTGGTCATTGTGGCACAGCTGTAATCCCAGCACTTGAGAGGCTAAGACAGGAAGATCTCCAGGAGTTCAAGGCCCCCCTGGGCTACACAGTGAGTTCAAAACCAGCCTGTACTACACAGCAGGATCTTTAAAAAAAAAAAAAAAAAACAGAAAAAAGAAAATCTAAGGAATAGTTTCATTGAACCAAACCTAAAGATGCACACAGATACACTCACAAATGGAGTAATATCCAGGACTTTTAAACATTCACTCCAAAGCAGGCAACAGGAAGGACAGATGCAGTTACCACATGACAGCCCAGGGTGAATAGAAATTTGCCTCTTCACTTACATATGCTCAAAATTTTCTATAATTAATTATCAGATATGGGCTACGCTGTACCTCACAAAGCCTGGGCTATATCACATCATGGGTTCTAGTATTGCTCCACATCTGAGCCCACACAACCTGGGTTCTATGACCAGATTCAGTGCCTCTCCCACTCCCTCCTGCCCAAGAGGCAATTCTGATTTCATACATCTGTGTGATTTAGCGGGGGAAGAGCCTCTAGTGGGGGCCTGACCTACCCCACACAGCCCACCCATCTTCAAGGGTAGGCGATATGACTGGCAAGGGAAGGCATACCACATCTCAGGGAACAGGGTATTGAGGCCTTCCCAGCTGTAAACGTTCATGACTGCCAGCCAGAACTTCCCCCAGGAAGGGATGGCCACAGCACCACCTAAGAAGAAAACAGGTCCATGTCATCTGCCTCCAGTCAGCAGAGCCAGCCCGGCTCGACCCATAAAGACTGGCCTAAAGGGTCACGTGAGCCACTTTTCATACCAGCTGAGAGCAGCCTGCTGCAGATCCTGCAAACTCCAGGTGACAAGTGGGTTCCAGAGCAACCAAGGACACCAAAACAGCTGGGTAAAGCCAGCAACTTTCCCAGGAGTACATTCAGACCCAAGAGAGCTGTTTGCAGCTCTTGCCTCCAGAAAAGAACACAAAACACTACCTGGGAATGAGTAAGTATGCCACCTCACGCTCAGGAGATGGAAGGGCCCAGATGTATGCAGTGGGAGGTGACCACACATGCCTGGACATAAGAGGGAGGCACATTTGGGTCTCCCTCTTAGACCAAGCCTAAGCAGTCTGTTCTTTCCCACCTGAGACGGTGCAGCACAAGTGATTAATAGGCCAGATGCCAGAGCAGATCTGACATTCTTGGTCCATATCCAGGGCCTCCCCTAGCAGGAGCTGGTGTCAGTACAGTGCACAGCAACACTGAGTTGGACACATTTTATGAGAAAGTCCTGGCCCTAACCCACGTGTGTTAAAGTCAAAAAAGATCCAGGTAACTACTAGGCAAAATGTGACCCAAACATGTTCCCCTAACAGGCAGATACCAGGAGTGCTGGAGGGAAGCACACCCTGGGAACTCAATGTACTGACAATGAATTAAATACAACAATACAAAGAATTAAATATAACAATACAAAGAGTATTGGATTTCATGAACATGTGTTCAGAATACATTTCACAAAGAAATCCTAATGAAGCGACATTTGAGATTACACGCTAAAGAGTAAGTAGGAGTTTGCAAAGCTGCAAAGTAGGGGGTGGAAAGTGGGATGAAAGGGTGCAGGACACAGGAGCCCTGAGGCGAGACGAGGTTTTTACGTTTTCCCAATTCAGGAGACAAGGAATTCCCAGGTTGTATTTATCTTGCTTTTTAAAAAATGAAGCAATAAAAATTTCTGCATAGGGGCTGGAGAGATGGCTCAGTGGTCTAAAGCACCTACTTGGAACAAGCTTGGCAAAGCACAGGGACCACGGTTCGATCCCCCAGCACCATATGCCAGCCAGCCCCGCCCACAGGTGGGCTGAACTGGCCACACACACAATAAATAAAATGTAAAAATAAATAAATAAAAATTTTAAAAAAAAAAAATTTCTGCATATATTTAGACAGATTCTTTGTATATTTTTCCTAGTATTTCCACTGAAGGTGCATCTTTCTGACTGACATTTGCAAAACTTTGTAACACTGGTATAACAAAATTTTTCTTTTATCTTTCTTATGAAGTACTGTACCTTTTTTGTGAAGGATGTTCCGGGCACGTACCATATTGGGCTCATCAGGCCCAACACCCAGGATTCTGAGAGCCACATAGTTCAGAGCAGTCCCAAACACTGTGGATTTGTCCTCAATGTGCCTGTGGGAGCATCAGACTGGTGAGAATATGATATTTGTCTTCTAACAAATAAAAGCCAGGCATGGTACATAGGCCTGTAATCCCATCATTCTTATAAGATGAAGCAGGTCCAGCAGGACTCCATCTCAAAATAAAAATGGCTTTGTAACTCAGTGCAAAGGCTCTGGATTCAATCCCCAGGACCAAAAAAAAAAAAAAAAGCTGCCAGTTTAAATAACAAAAATAAAGTAATACTGGCAGTGAAATTTGCCTAAGAAACCTAGACCTTCAACCAACACACATCACTATGAAAAGTTTACTTACCTCTCCTGATTTCTGAGCTGCTCCACAATCTTGGAAACCACCTGTCCCACCCTTTTGCTCACCTCCCACACATAAATAAACACATCCATCCCAGCACAGTCTGTGCAGGCAGGGTTCCTGCTCCCAGAGTATGCCCCACATCAGAAAAGCACACTGAGGGCTGGGGACATGGCTCAGTAGAATAAGCACTTCCCTGGCAAGCACAAGGGCCTGAGTTCAATTCCCTGTTCTGCCAAAAATAAATAAATAAATAAATAAAAAAAAGCACACTGAGACAGACACTGCTGGGCACCTTGCTACCACAGCTGAAGGCAGGTTTTTCTGCCTCAATGATGAAACACTGATAGCTTTCACATAGGAGGTAGGTCAAAGGCCCTTTCTGGACCATGAAACCCATTTATAGTACCATGTAAAAAGAGAAATCCAGCTTACACGTAACTGTGAGCCCATTCCCCTCTTTATTCCACTTCACTCAAAGCCCACAGCTTCAGTCATCCCACCTCTCAACAGCTGCCTGGAAACCAGAAGACTGCCTACACAAAAACACATGCATGTATACTTGTACATGTACGCAGTTGGGCATACTCACAGGCCCCAGCCACCATCAGGGAGCTGCACTGACCACAGGTACCGCACTATCTCCTCTCTGTATCCAGCTGGCAAAGGGATCTGTGCTATGTGGCACGTGATCAGAAGGCCTGTGTAACAAGAAAGATGGCTCAGCACTGCTAAAACCAGGCCTCTTTTTTCTTGACGACGCCCACCTAAACAGGGAACTGTCCCCATGGATCTCCTTCCCATGGAATTGAGCCCAGGAAGGCAATTTCTTTTGGGTTGGATAAAGAACTTTAGGAACACATTTCAAAAGTGCCAGCAGCAACACAGATGGCATTCCCCACACAGGGCCCACAGAACCCACTGAGCCATGCCTGGCTTCCACAGCAAAGTCTGGGCCACAGAAACACCAAACATTACACAGGATGTCTACCATGAGTGTGCTAAAAGCCCAAGAGGAGTAAGCATTCAAGATCAGTGGACCACAAGGAGAAACTAAGTCTTGCTCTAATGACCACCGAGGAAACAAACACCAAATACTAAGTGATCATACAGGATGAAGCAACTTCTAGTGCTTATTTGTATTTCCGGTTTTATAAACTTTTTGGAAGTTTGCACCCTTTGTAAATGAGGGGGAGACAACACTGTACACAAAGAAACTTTCTTCTTAGCTTGGTCTTCTTGAACATGCTATGGTGCTCTGGGCCTCACTTATCCCCAGCCCTCATGTAGAAGTTCCATCATCACAAGGTCCTGGAGCAGAATTAACACAGAAGCAAACTCATACAGTATTTGTATAAGAATTCACAGCACTGAAATAGTATCCTTACACCATCAGTGGGGGAAAGAGGCTTGGTGCACAAATTCTAGGAAGAACTCTAGATTACAAGATTGTTTCTGTAGAGGATGCAAGATACTCCTGTCCAGCCAAATCAGGTCAATGTCCTGGAGCTCAACTGCAATTTTATCACCACTCACCAGCCAGAACCTAAAGGTCCCTGCCAGAACTCTCTCAGCCACTCTTTGGAATGAGCTCACAGAAGGTATTACAGAACTCATGCTGTTCCCTGGAACCAGCACCCCATCTACAAACCCACCCACTAACACGCCTCCACATAGGCTGGGTCTTCCATGTATAGAGCGCTTCCCAATCTGCACTGGGACTCAGATGCCCTCCTAACTTGCTTTGCTGCCCTATCAGAGTTCAGAGTGCTTGCCACCCTACACTGGGCCAGCTGTGCCTTCTTTCCTACTGGTACCAGCATCAAATTGCCCAGAGCAAGCACCCTGTGGTCATTGCTTCTGGGTTTAAACCTGTCTCATCAAGAGCCTAGAACAGTGATTTAGGAGTGTTTTAGAGCTCTTAATAACAAATGTGCACATGACATTGATTTGCTACCCCACGGCAGGGTCTTAAGGATGATCCAAGGTAATCTTGCCCTCATGCTGGGGCAACATACTCCTACCTGGAAGGAGGAAGAGTGGGCCACCATAATCACCAGTCCAGTGCCCGTCCTCAGCCTGCAGCCCCACATAAAATGTTACACCGTTCAGAGCCCCTTCGTGGGCTGTGTGAGCTTTGGGCAAGTCTTTAAAGTAATTCTTCTACAAAGAGAGAAAAAAATATGAGAACTGACATTTTCTGTGATGGGGCCGGAAGATCCCTCCTTCCATATAATCCAAGTCAAATTAGTGATTTGAAGTCCCCGCTGCAAGCATTTGATGACAGTATTACACCTCAGCAAATAAAAAGGCCAGTTGCACGGTTTTACTTTAGTTTCGTATAACATATCAGCAAATAAAAAGGCCAGTTGCACGGTTTTACTTTAGTTTGGGATCTGCAAATTTCTTCACAACTTCCCCATTATGTCTTGAACAAGCCCAACACCTACAGGGTGTGGGGCTGGCACTGATGCCCATGCAGGCTGGCACAGGAGGTGTTGGCTGGGGGATGGTGGTTAGAGCTTGAGAGAGCACTCAGTTCATTCCTACTGTGAGTTTCACATCGTATCAAACAAGTTCCTTTTGCGAATAAAAACAAAATCGCAACTATCCCTCCAATTCTTCTGTCAATCTAAATTAATTTCAAAATAAAGTGCCAAGGGGCCAGGGAGACGGCTCGGTGGAATAAGCGCTTCCCTGGCAAGTGCAAGAGCCTGAGTTCAATCCCCGGTTCGGCCAAAATAAATAAATAAATAAATAAAATAAAGTGCCGAAAATAACGTGGGCTGTTCCTCACGCGACGCGGCTGGGCTCCCTCACCCGCTCCCCGACAGGGAAGCCCTGCGCGCCGCCCACACCACTCACTGTGTCCAGCCCCAGCGAGTGCGCCTCTAGGCCGCTCTGTACGCGCTCCGGAGCCTCGCCCTCGCCCTGGGGGAAGTACGTCCACGTCTGCCGCCCTAACTCGCTGTGGAGCCGCCAGCGGCTGAGGTCCGTGGCGGGCTCCGTTTTGTACGGTCCTCCACGACGCCGTAGGCACCTGGGCGGACCAGCGCAGTGGGTGAATGGAGTCCGGCCTTCCCGCCCCGCCCCGCGCCCCCGCCACCCTTCGTGCACCCCACTCCCTCGTGCACCAAATCCCTCAGCGCCCTCCAACCCTAGGACATACGTCCCCTCTGTCATGACTGCACCAGGACCGCGAGCTGCCACGCGACCACTTGAATAGCCGCTCTGCAAACTGCGCAGGCGCACGCCTCGGCAGATGATCCCAACCCGGTGGGCTGACGCTCGTACAGCCAATCAGAGCTCCGCTCAGTAAGCCCAGGGCGCGCCCAGCTACGGCAATGGTCGAGCGAGCGACGCTCCACGCGAAGAGGAGGGCTAGGGGGCGGAGTCAGGGGCGGGGCCGGCTTGCGGGTTGCCTCAGAACAAAGCTGTCCTGGAGGCGCGCGGCGTCTTGAGGTGAGTGAGCAAGAGGGGAAGAAGGGCTTGGGGGGAGCCTCAGGCGTCAGGTACTCGAGGAGACAGGAAAAGACTGCGAGCGGGGCAGGGCAGGGCAAGGTGGGGAGGGGCGGGGCGGGATCCAGGCCGCGCCCCAAGTCCCCAGGTCTTCGTCCCACAAGAGCTCGCCAGGTGGCGCTCTGCACCTAGCTCTGGAGTTCTGTCTTCTCTGAGCATCCCGCCTGGAGCTACATGGCTGAGATCCTGGGCTAGTCACACTGGAAGCTGAAGATGGAGCACCCACATGTCTACCCCGTGGAGTGTCGGGTATGGACATCAGGACGCTCCCCTCTTCTGTCCCAGCTCGGAAGAAATTAAGACAGCAGCAAAATGGGCACATCTGGAAATAACCTTGCCACAAGTAAATAATTGGGAGAACAAGCTTCTTAGAGCAAGTCATAACTGACTCACACCTAAACCAGACCAACATCTCCTTACCGCTGAGCCATCAAGTTCCCCTGCAGTGCCAGGAATTTGAGTGCCATATGGAGACCTCAAAGAATCCTGAGCACATGAGACCCTCTGTTCTCCCACCCAGATTCACTAATAAGTGAATAAGTCATTTCATTTCTCCAGAAACAGAAGCCTGAAGTCCCTCCTAAGAAGAAACATTAAGAATGGGCCAGGGGCCAGGTGATAGATAGCTCAGCGGCTTAAAAGAAAAAAAGAAAAAGAATGGGATGACCCAGCCAGATAGCTCATCTGGACTAAAGTGCCTGCTTAGCCAGGCATAGCAACTGGGGTTTAATCCCAGGCGTGCTGTGCCGGCCCAACCCCCAGCTCTGAGATGGTGATTGACACTGGGCGTATTGGCACATACCTGTAATCCCAGTGTTTTGTAGGCTGAAAACAGGAGAATCACAAGTCCAATCAGTGTAGTGAGACCCTGTACACCCTATACTAAATACATTTTAAAAAATTGGGAGTAAGGAGCTCACGCCATTGTCAAGCTAGACCCTGAGGTGTGACTGAGACCATTGGGACAAGCAAGATTGAAGCAAAAAGAGATGGTATCTTTATTTTAGCCTTGGTTCAGCCTGGTCAAGAGGGAAAAGGCTGTTGACCACAAACAAAGGAAGAGAAGTAGTTTATAGACTAACTTAGGTATGGGAGAGGGTGTTAGTGGTCATTGGTGGGTCTGAGCCCTGTAGAGTTAGGGAAGGATGATAGTGGTATTCTGCTGATTCACAGCATGAAATTCTATAGATTTACTGAGTTTTTTGTTTCCTTTTTTGTATTTTAGGGAAGGGTCTACAGGGTGTTCAGGGTCTCATCACTAGGTCGAACTCTAGTGATCTGCCTGTTTATGCCACCACACCCAGTCTCAACTTGGCCAGCCTTTACAGTTTCTTGTAAGCCTAAAAACAAGACCTGGGAGCCATCCTGATAAAACATTTATTTTATTCGCTTGGGCTGAGTGAGGAGACATCCTACTTGAACACAGTGGTAGTCTAGTTTTTCTCTTTGGTTTGGGAGGGACCTAATTGTGAGGACCTAACATCCATAATCTCGAATGTTGAATCTGACAAAGCTAGATAAGTGTGTGTGTTGGGGGGAGCTAGGTGAGGGGAGAGGTTTTGACTAGAAAGGGATCAAGTTGATACAGGACTGGAATTTTTATGAGTAAAATAATAGTACCCTAATATATTAAGAAAAAATAAAATTGATCTGTGAATTCAGAAATAAATTTCTAGAGAAAATCATAGGAAAAAAATTTATCTCACTCTATCCTACCAAGTCTGAACACAGAGGTTCTGAGAGGTAGTTCTAGAGTGGCATTTACTCAAACAGGGAAGGTTAGTTTGGAAATTTCAACATAGACTGGGACTTTTTTTTTTTTTTTTCTTCAGAACTGGGGATTGAACTCAGGCCCTTGTGCTTATCAGGGAAGCACTTATTCTACTGAGCCATCTCCCCGGTCCCCAGGGACATGTTTTAATAGTGATGTTCATTAGGTAGAAATGTTGATATAAAGAATTTTTAAAAATTGGGTCCCACATTAAAAAACCCAATCCAAAAATGGGCATCTGAGATGAATATACACTTCTTAGAGGAATACCATGGCAAGTAAATATATGAAAGATGTTCAATATCATTAGTCATTCAAGAAACACAAATTAAAACATTGAGATTCCATCTCACCCCAGAGAGAATGGCCAACATCAAGAAGTCAGCCAATGACAAATGCTGGAGGGGCTGTAGAGAAAAAGGAACCCTTCTCCACTGTTGGTGGGAGTGCAGACTGGTACAACCACTATGGAAATCAGTGTGGAGATTTCCTTCAAAAGCTAGGATTGGACATACCATTCAAGCCAGCTATTCCCCTCCTGGGTATTTTTCCAGAAGAACTGAAAACCTCATACCACAGTGATATACGTGCACCTATGTTTATAGCAGCGCAACCTGTCATAGCTAAATACAGGAAACAATCCATATGCCCATCAACTGAAGAACAGATAAAGATGTGGTATTTTTACACAATGGAATATTATTGAGCTATAAAACAGGATAAATTTGAGTCTTTTGATGGTAAATGGATACAACTAGAGAACATACTCTTAAGTGAAATAAATCAGACCCACATGTACAAACATCATATTGTCTCCTTAATGTGAGAACCTGAAAGAGAAAAATGGAATTTGAAAGGCACAAGAGATACTGGGGAGAGAAAATGAATGTATTCAAAATGAATTACTGAGCTGAGCATAGGAGAGTGGGGGGAAAGAGATTAATCTAGGCATATAAGCAGCATGGTTTGGAGAACTGTACTATATACTTCTGCTGGTCTGTGAAAAGGAGCAGATAATTGTTTTGTCTTTTCTCAATTGTATTTTTTTTCTTAATTTCTTAAACACTTTATTTGTATTTTAGGGAAGGGTCTACACAGTGCTCAGGGTCTCACTACTAGATCTGACTTGTAGTGCTCCACTTTTTTACAGCCTCCCAAGAGCTGTGGTTACAGGCGCATGCCACCATGCCCACATCTCAATTGCCATCTCAGCATGCCCTGGGGGCAGGGCCGGCACAGCAGGCCAGGGGATTGATCCCCCGGCCCCTGTGCCTGCTTGCAGGTTCTTTAATCCACTGAGCTATTTGGCCGGCCCCATTTCTTTTTTTTCTTCCCATGTTACATGCATATATCTGGTAATATGAATAACTGGTTGGAAGAATCACTGTTATTACAACAAATATTGTGAAATTCATATTAAGTGAAATTCTGTATCATTTGTAATTTTTTAATTTGTACTCCCTTAAAAAAAAAAGTGGAGGGGGGCCTGGCCCTAGCTCAGTCCTTTAAGTGGCTGCTTCCACAAAGCTGTCAGCCTCAGGTTGCTGGAGTTCGAACCTCACAACTCTCCC